ATTATTATTATTATTAGTATTATTATTATTCGTATTATGATTATTATTACTACTATTTTTATTATTGTTGTTGTTATTCTTATGTTTATTACTTTTAATTTTAGTATTCTTATTAGTGATATTATACACATATATATGTACACTTGTTTTTTATTTATTTATGTATGTTTTTAGTTATTTATGTTTTATTCGTTATTTCATTATTACTATTATTATTATTATTATTATTATTATTATTATTATTATTAGTATTATGATTATTAGTAGTATTATGATTACTAATATTATTAGTATTATGATTATTGTTATTGTTATTCTTTTTATTACTACTATTAATTCTATTAGTAGTATATATATAGATATCTCGTCTAGACGTAAGAGTGACCTTTGGCCGGAGTGACCTTTGGCGAGGGCACAATGGGGCCCCCCGATCGCTGAGCTCGAAGCGGTAGCAGCGGTTTGCGCGCCCAGGTTTGGCCACCCCCGTCCTCCGTTCAGCCGCAAACCAGATGTCACCCTTGCCCAGGGTCGCTCTTGCATGCAGCGGATCCTTGCAGGAGCGGAAGAATCTGGGAGACAGTTATCGGCTTGAGAGGATGGGATTGGGGGAGATGGCCAGATGATCCGTGATGTCGCGAGTGTCGGGTGTGCTCCTTGCACAGTCGTGCCTCGTATCCTCCCAACCCGATGATTTGTCTTTCTAGAATCGGGGGAGCGTAAGACCCGGGTTTGCCAGGACTCGGGTTCGCCATCGTTTTTTGACGACCGCGCCTCGGATTTTGACGAGGAGGAGTTTCGTGGGATGTCTGCAGCGGGAGGCCTCGTCAAAATGCATGCTCGGCCTCGTCATTTTTTTGACGACCTCGTCGGGGATTTCCGAGTCCACTGTACCCAGGTCTTACGTCCCCCTGATAGAAGCGTGAACGTTGGTAACACGAGCGTCCTTTGTGGGCTCCCTCCTCCTTGGAGTCGGCTGAGGGTCTCAGGTGGCCCAGCACTGGCCCCAGCCAGCAGGAAGGGGGGGGGGTCGAGGTCCGAGGCTTCTGGGGTTCGGGGCGTTTGCCCCTGTCTGTCTCCGAGAGCCGTGCCCGGGGACCGTCAAGAACGGATCTGGGGCCGTTTGGGCCGAAATCGATAAAGCCACCATTCGCTGCGATTGCTAAGGCCTTACGGCCAGTGCCTCCGACCCTGGACGACGACCCCCACCATGGAAGAGGCATTCGGGAAGGTCGGGATCGGACGCTCCCAAGAGTGCTCAAGAGGCCACTCGAGGCCCCCCAGAGGTGCCCACGACCCACCCGAAAACGATACACCGGCCATCCGCTGTGATTCGTTTTCCCAGCGAGAGGTCCGGGCGCATCGGCTTCGGATCATAAGAACCGGGCCTCTCGAGCGTCGTTCGATAACCATCCGGGCAGCTCCCCAGAGCGCTCTCTCGGCCAGGCGGGGCTGCTGGAGAGCATACAGAGGGGAGAGGCAACCTCCGAAAACTCCAGAAAGCTACAGAAGACAGTCTTCTCCTCGTCCCTGCTCTACAGTAGGGGTCTTGAAGAAGGAACCCTTTTCGTTGGGGAGGGGCTCGGTGTTCCTTGATTGTTTCAAAGTTTGCCTCGGGTTTTCCGGAGGTTCTCCACAGGAAGTCGAGGTTGAACTTATGGGAAAAAGGGGCCTCGTTCCTTCTTTAGGGTTCCTTAGGTCAAGGCCCCGACTGTACCTCCTCTTCCCTTCTTCTCCTGCCTTCTCCTCGTCTTCTGCTCCTCCTTCCTCTGCCTCCTCTTCCCCCTGTGCCGTCTTCGTTGCTGGCCAGGCGCCCCTCCGGTGCACACTGCGGGCCGGCATTGCTGTGGCGGTTTCGCAGTCCGAGAGCTCGTTGAGTCATCGTCCTCCTCCGCCTCCTTCTCCTCCTCCTCCTCCTCCTCCTCCTCCTCCTCCTCCTCCCCCTCCTCCCCCTCCTCCTCCTCCTCCTCCTCCTCCTCCTCCTCCTCCTCCTCCGCCTCTTCCTTCTCCTCCCCCTCCTCCTCCTCCTGCTCCTCCTGCTCTTCCTGCTCCTCCTCCTCCTCTTCCGTTGGGGTGCTGATTGCCGAAAACATTAACGCTACAGAAGACTGGAATGCCAGTGAAGGTTACAGCAGCTGCAGCAACAGCCCGAGGCGAGAAAGCTCCCGCCGTGTCTTTTTCTCTGGGCCTCCTGGATGGCGTCCGAGCAGATGGGGTCGGAGGATCGTGCCGCATCGCCGATACATCGGCGATGCGGCTCCACGTGGAGCCCGATTGTCTTCGCGCTGGCGTCGCCGATGCACCGCGGATGCGGCGTGATCCTCCGACCCGGACCCACCTGCTCGGACCCCGTCTGGGAGGCCCTTCTTTTCGCCACGAGCGAGCTGCACCGCCGCCGCTCCTGGTGGGCGCTCCCGGGCTGCCTGCTGGACAGGGGCGCGAGCAGGAACAGAGGAGCGAAAGGACGAGGATGACGGCGATGATGCCGATGAGGGCAAGGATGAGGACGATGAGGATGAGGACGGGGATCGCTGATGATGATGCTGATGATGGTGATGCTGTTGTTGTTGCTGTTGCTGCTGCTATTGATGATTGCGCTGATGCTACTGCTGCTGCTGCTGCTGATGATGGTGATGATTGATGCTGATGCCGATGCTTATGATGATGATGCTGATGCTGATGATGATGATGATGATGATGATGATGATGATGATGATGCTTCTGATTGTAATAATGATGATGATGTTGCTGAGGCTGGTGATGGTGACGATGCTGATGACGACGATGCGGATGCTGTTGATGGTGATGATGGTTTTGGTAACGATGATGAAAATACTGTTGATGCATACGACGATGTGTATGATGATGACGGTTATGATGATGCTTATGATTGTGGTGGTGGTTGTGATGAGTATGATGGTGATGGTGATGGTGATGGTGATGCTGATGGTGATGCTGCTGCTGATAAGGATGATGCTGCTGATGATGATGCTGCTGATGATGATGATGACGATATTGATGCTGATGATGCTGCTGATGATGATACTGATGAGGATGAGGATGAGGATGAGGATGCTGATGCTGATGATGATGCTGCTGCCGATGATGCTGATGATGACGATGATGATGCCAACGATGATGACAATGATGCTGCTGCTGATGATGATGATGATGGCGATGTTGAGGATGATGCTGTTCACGACGATGATGATGACGCTGATGATGACTGTTATGCTGATGATAGTGATGATAATTCTGATGATGCTGATGATGCCGGTGCTGATACTGCTGATGATGAGGTTGATGGTGTTGATGATGGTGGTTATGTTGATGATGGTGATGCTGATTATGATGATGAGGATGCTGATGATGGCGATGCTGCTGCTGCTGATGATGCTGATTGCTGATAAGGAGGAGGAGGATCAGGATGATGATGCTGATGATGATGATGATGATGATGATGCTGATGCTGATGCTGATGCTGATGCTGATGCTGATGCTGATAATTATGATGATGGTGATGATGGTGGTGATGGTGATGGTGATGGTGATGGTGATGGTGATGGTGGTGGTGATGGTGATGGTGATGGTGATGGTAATGGTGATGGTGATGGTAATGGTTGTGGTGGGGACAATGGCGACGATAACGGTGATAACGACGATGACGCCGACACCGACGGTGGCGACGACGAGAAGGAGTAGGAGGGACTTGGAGGAGGAGGATGGTAGTGACCCCCCGTTTGTCGTGAAACAAATATTAGCGGGAGGTTTGACTATTTCCGGCCTCTGGAGGAGGCCATCGCCTGGCCCCGTGAACGTGAGGAAACGAGCCAGGATACAAAACTGGTCCCGGGGAAAGGGTCGAGACCTCCGGGGGTCGATGATGTGAAAACGCGAGGGAGCAGGAGGAAGAGGAGGCAGAGGGGGATGGAGGGGGCAGGGGGAGGGGGAGAAAGAGCGAGGAGATGGAGGAGGAGAAGGAGGAGGAGGAGCATGAGGAGGAAGAGGAGAAGCAGGAGGAGGAGGAGGAGAAGCAGGAGGAGAGGAGGAGGACGAGGAGGAGGGGAGGACGAATGGGAATGAGGGTCAGAAGGAGGGAGGATGGCTGTGGAGGAGGATTAGGACGAGTAAAAGGATGAAGAGGAAGAGGAGAACGAGGAGGAGGAGGAGGAGGAGGAGGAAGATCGAGGATCGGTGCTTTTGGACCGTGTTTCGCCATCTGTTGGCATCGGGGAAGCTTCTCGTTGCCTCGGCTGGGCCCGAACGCGCCCCAGGGCAGGCCTGGATGTCAGATGAAGAGACTACGCGTAGCACCCCGCAGTTGCGGATCAGAGTGAGGGAGCTGTGGGGTCGTCGGCCGTCTGCGAGGCTCTGAAGAAGCCCGTCGCAGGCGCCGATTTTTGGCACGTTGCACACCGGGCCCGTCGCAGGCGCTAGTTTTTTCGTCGAAGCAGTGTGGGTGGGTCTCGGGTGGGTCGCCGGGTGGGTCGCCGGGTGGATCGCGGGGCGGGTCGCGGGTGGGTCGCGGGGGGGTCGCGGGTGGGACGACGACAAGAGACAACCATACAAGCAGAATCCGCGCCGAGAACCTCCGTGTCAGCTACGCACCCAGGGACAGTGAATGACAGTTCGGCCCTCTCACTTTGAGAATACAGGATGGTATTGAAAAAGACAGCCTTTTGCCCGCGAGCGGCGAGGTGTACAGTTTTAGTTGTTTTTTTTGTTGTTTGAGGCCCTCCAGTTCGGTCATGGGTCCCCTCGGTGAAGGGGGAGGGGGGCCAAATCTAGCGCCCGCGGTTCGTAAGTAAGGAGGAGGAGGAGGAGGAGGAGGAGGAGGAGGAGGAGGAGGAGGAGGAGGAGGGGAGAGGGGCGTCCAGGAAGAAGACACAGAAGCAACAAAAGGAGGACACGTACATCATATGCTAGATAAGGCGTGGAGAGGGATGAGGAGACGGATGGGTGGCTGGCAGGATGGAGGACGAGCAGCATGCGCTCCACAGGAGTCTCGAAGGATGTTCTCGAAGATTCCGAGTGACAATTTCGAGCTGCTTGGGCTCCCAGCCAATATGAGCGTCGCGCAGCAGGATCACCGTCAAGTCTCTGCTCTGTCCTTCTCGTCATCCTCCTGCTCCTGCTCCTACGGAGGGCAATGGCATCACCATTCGTCGTCGTCCTCCTTATCCTCCGCTATACCCTGCTGGTTGCAGATCTCGTTCTCGCATGTCTGCTTTCATGGGCTGACTGAATCAGAATCGCTCCTGTATCTCCTCCTTGTCCTCCTTTTCCTCCTCCTTGTCCTCATTGTCTTCCTCCCTCCTAGTCGGTCATCTTTCTTCCATCACCCCTCCCTCCTCCACTTTTTCGATGACGATGGTGATGCTGATGATGGTGATGATGATGATGAGGATGATGCTGATGATGATGGTGATGCTGATGCTGCTGATGGTGACTATGCTGTTGATGATCCTGCTGATGCAGATAATGCTGACGATGACGCTGACGATGATGGTAATGATGGTGATGATGGTGATGATGATGATGATGATGATGGTGACGATGGTAATATGATGATGCTGATGATGCTGCTGCTGCCGATGAAGATGAGACTGATGCTGCTGATGCTGATGATGCTGTTGATGCTGCTGATGATGCTGCTGATTATGATGATGATACTGATGATGTTGATGATGATGCTACTGGTGATGATGATGGTGACGGTGACGGTGGTGAAGATGGCGATGACGATGCCGATACTGCTGCTGGTGCGGATGAGTATGATGATGCTGACGGTGGCGATGATGAAGGTTATGCTAATGCTGCTGCTGCTGCTGATGATGATGATGATGGTGATTCTGCTGATGATGCTGATGGTGGTGATGGTGAGGATGATGCTGCGGTTGCTGATAATGATGTTGATGCTGATGGTGATGCTAATGGTGATGATGACGGTGATGTTGGTGATGGTGATGACGATGGTGATGCTGATGAGAATGATGCTGATGATGACGGTGCTGATGCTCTGATGATGCTGATGATGATGCTGCTGATGGTGATGCTGCTGAAGATGATGGTGGTGATGATGTTGCTGATGATGATGGCAATGATGTCGATGATGCTGATGATGCCGATGATGACGATGCTGATGCTGATGCTGCTGCTGATGATGATGACGAAGCTGATGATGATGATGATGATGATGATGATGATGATGATGATGATGATGATGATGATGACGATGCTGCTGACGCTGATGATGAGGATGATGCTGAGGATGCTGATGACGCTGCTGCTGATGATGATGATGCTGCTGATGATGATGATGGTGATGATGATGATGATGATGACGATGCTGGTGGTGATGATGCTGGTGCTGATGATGATGAGGATGATGATGATGATGATGATGATGATGATGATGATGATGATGATGATGATGGTGATGATGGTGATGATGATGATGATGCTGATGCTGATGCTGATGCTGATGCTGATGCTGATGCTGATGCTCATGATGATGGTGGTGATGATGAGGATGACGATGATGCTGATCATGCTGGTGATGATGATGAGGAGGAGGAGGAGGAGTAGGAGGAGGAGGAAGAGGAGGATGAGGAGGAAGAGGAGGAGGACGGTCGGAGGAAATAGAGGGAGGGATGAGAAGTGGAGGAGGGAGGGAGGGAGGTGGGGAGGGGGAAGGAGGGAATGGGGATGGAAGGAAGAGAGACGGAGAGGAGAGCGATGTAGGAATAATGTGCGGGAGGAGGGGAAGGAGGAGGAGGAGGAGGAGGAGTAGGAGGAGGAGGAGGAGGAGGAGGAGGAGGAGGAGGAGGAGGAGGAGGAGGAGGAGGAGGAGGAGGCGGAGGGGAGGCAAAGGGCGGAGAACGGAGTAGGAGGAAGATGAGGATCGGAGAGAGGGATAGAGGAGAGGATGGGGATTCGAGGAGCCCGGGGAACAGGAAATGGAGATGGGTGGAAGTGGAGGCTCAGGTAAGGACGAAGAGGGGGCCGTGGAGCAAGCGGACGAGGAGGAGGAGGAGGAGGCGGAGGCGGAGGCGGAGGCGGAGAGCAGGTTGAGGAAGAGCGGGCGGCATCATCTTCTGCCTCCTCTCACGGGACGACAGGTCGTGGCACCAATCCTGTAGCATCAGTCGGTGCACTTGCCGCGCGCACTGAGGAGCCCAGCACAGCAAACCAGGCCTCGAGCGAAGGCATATGTTGGCACGGCAGGTTCGCGCCGCCTCGGCGCGACGATGACGCCGGCACGGGCACTCCGTCTCGAAAGCCCTCCAGGGGCCCATCGTCGGCCCACGAGCCTCACAGAAATGAAAAGCATGGTGCACCATCCATACGAAAGGTCCCGAAGGGCCTGACGACCCGTTTCCAATCGACTCGCGGGGGTCAAGCTGGATCGACCGGGACAGGTCGTACCTTTGAATGTCCACAGATGGATAAAGGTGGCTCGGGGGGCAGCAGGCTTTCAACACTTGCCGATTTCAGCATCGGCGGTCAAATGTTCGTGGTCGAATACCGTCCCCTGGCCCAATTCTGGTTTGTCCAGTTCAATCCCGTGCAAGTCGGCTTACTCTTGGACTGGAACTGGCCCGATCTGGCGGTTAAGTGGCCCTTCAATCGGGCTTGGTAGCCCTGAAGGATCGTTCCCACGAAGACCTCCCATGAAGTGCCTCCTAGCCTCGGCGAAAAATCCATGCGAGAGGTGGAGGGAACAGGTCCAGTCATGCACCACTCTTCGTTTTGCCCTTGCACGGTCAAGCTGTTGAAATAGTTTCTTCATCTATTGGAATGGCTTCCTCTGTAATTATTGAAATTACTTCTTGTGGCTGTTCCAGTGACATCCCAACAACCGGCCCACAATCGTCAACCTCATACTTCGAGCAGAGTAGGGTAGAGTAGAGTAGGGCAGAGCAAAGTAGGACATGATAGGGCTGTATAGTCGAGCAGGATCGTGTACAGTAGAGAACAGGAGAGGGTAACATAATTGAGTAACTTAGGGAAACATGATATGTTAGAGTAAAGTCACTTTGAGTAGAGGAAAGTAGAGTAGAGTAGGTGTACAGTTTAATCGTAATGCAGTAGGGTAGAGCGGAGTGGAGTAGAGTAGGTTAGGGTAAAAGCTGATTGGGAAGGGTCGAGTAGGGTAGAGTACGGTGGCTTCGAAACGAGTGGAGCAGGGTTAATGGTAGAACCTAGTCGCGTAGACTAGAGTAAAGGTACGACGAGAGTAGATGAGAGGAGAGTAAGGCTTGGTCTGGTCGAGTAGGGTCGGCGTATAGTAAGAGTAGGAGTAGGAGTAAGACTAGAGTAATGTAAAGCAGAGCAGAGTAGAGTAGATCCTGGCCGGGTAGGGTCTGGTGATGTTGGGTTACAGCACAGCAGAGCCGAGTCGAGTAGGGAAAGTTGCAGAGGAGAGGCGGGTAGAGTAGAGCACAGTAGCACGGAACAGCGTCTACTACAGTAAAATAGAGAAGAATGGATGAGTAGAGTAGCGTATCATATTGTAGAGTGGGGGAGAGGAGAGGATAACCTGCCAGCGTAGAGCAGGTTTGGGACGGGTAGGGTAGAGTGGGACTGTCTAAGTCAGAGTAGAACCGAGTAGCATAGATAGGGTGTTTTGTAAACTGGGGTCGGGTAGAAGAGAGTAGGGTCGAGTAGAGTGTAATAGATTTGGGTCGAGTCGAGCAGAATCGAGGATAGTAGAGTAGGTTTGGGTTGGGTCGGGTGGGTAGGGTAGTGTAGAGTAGCTTAGAGTAGAGCAGCCTAGAATCGAGTAGGGTAGATGGTCGACTCTAACCGGGTAAACTAGAACAGAGCAGCGTAGCGTAGAGTAGAATGGCGCAGAGTAGAGCAGAATAAAGTAGAGTAGAGCATACACGAGTGATTTATATGGGTAGAGTAGAACAGAGTCTACTAAAGTGGAGCAGACTGCAGTCGAGTAGAGTAGAGAGAAGCATAGGCGAGTAGAGTCGCGTAGAGTAGGAGTAGGGTCAGAGTGGAGTGGAGCAGGAGTAGAGTAGGTAGACCAGTTTAGGGTCGGGCGGGCTACGGTAGGGTAGAGTAGACTGTGAACAGATATTGGTAGGAAAAGAGTAGAGTAAGGCAGGCGGTAGAGTAGTGCGTGGTATAAGATTAGTGTAGAGTAGAGTAGAACAGAACACACTAGAGTACAGCATATGAGATGTGTATGTTCGAGTATGGTAGGATGTCATAGGAGTAGAGTGCAGGATTTTCGGAGTAGGAGTTTAGTAGGGGACAGTCGAGTCGAGTTGGGTAGTACGGTCTAGGTGTAGAGTAGAGTAGGGTAGAGTACAGCAAAGCAGAGCAGAGCAGAGTAGATGGTCGAGTAGAGTCTAGTGAAGTGGAGTAGGGTCGAGTAGATTTGAGCAGCGTGGAGTCCTCTCCAGTCAGTCCAGCGTACTTCAGTCCATTCCAGTCCACTTTGCTTCAGTCTCCTGATCTCTTCTGGGGAGTCCGCGCTGGCTGATTTCTGTGCAGCGCATTGGGAAATCTGCTGCACGGTAGCTCCGTGCCCGCCCGACCGATCTGCGCGAGCGCCAGGTCCGCGCCACGCAAGCTTCTTTTTGGCCTCCCCGCCCTGCGTGCTCCCGCGCGCGCGGAAGCGCGGGCGCGCGTCCTGGGGTCGGCGGCGCGCCTGGGGGGGGGGGGGGAGTGAGAGGGGGGGCAGACCTCGAGGAGGAGGAGGAGGAGGAGGAGGAGGAGGAGGAGGAGGAGGAGGAGGCGGCGGGGCTTCTCAGAAGCCCTCCGGCCTTCCGACGCGGTTGCTGTGTCTCCGGGGGAGAGTCTCAGAACACATATCAAAAGGCCAGCATGCCCTCTGAGCCTGTTTGGAAGGCCCGACCCTTCTCACTTCCCCGGCCGGCGCGCCGCCGAGTCACGTGAGGGGATGTGCCCAGTGACAGGCTCGCCCTGAAGAGCAGCGGCCCTCTCTCCGTCCAGCTTTGAGAGGTAAAGAAGGGCTACTCCAGATTTCGTAATAAAAGGGAGGGGGTCTGGACCCTCCAAGACAAGCCATTTCAGACCTCCCCCGTGGCAGAACCCTCCAAAGCATCGTCCCCAGACCCCCCAGGCCCTCCAAGATAGCCTGGAAGAGACCCCCCCCCGAAATGAGACCCCCCTCCCTTTATTACGAAATCTGGAGCACGCAAGCATGACTGCGCAGATTGCCTGGATCGGTGCTGGTCCCTTCTCCGTGGCCCGCGGAGAGCGCAGAGGACTTCGTTGCTCGGCGAGGGATGCGTAGCCCTGTCGAGGCCTCGGGCGGGGCTCTTGTGCTCTCCTGTCCCGAGGGGGGTGGGGGCAGTGCGGGTGAAGCTCAGGCGTGCGACGCCGTGGTGGAGAACATCATCATCATCATCATCATCATCATCATCATCATCATCATCATCATCATCATCATCATCATCATCATCATCATCATCATCATCATCATCATCATCATCATCATCATCATCATCATCAGCAGCAGCAGCAGCAGCAGCAGCAGCAGCATCATCACCACCATCATCATCATCATCATCATCATCATCATCATCATCATCATCATCATCATCATCATCATCATCATCATCATCATCATCATCATCTTCCTCCTCCTCCTCCTCCTCATCATCATCATCACCTTCATCGTCATCATCATCATCGTCGTCATCATCACCACCACCATTATCACCATCATCACCATCATCAGGACGTCCAGACCACTTCGTTGACGGTCCCGGGGTCCTGGCCCGGGCCCCTCGGGGGCCGAACGCGGCCAAGAGCCTCCCGTGGTGATGGTCGTCCCGACGAGAGGAGGCCTGTGCTGGTCGGCTTTCGGGTCTCATCGGGCCTCCGGCGGCCGGTCGGGACGATCCGGGCGCCCCCCGAACGCTCTCGGCGAGGCGGGGCTGCTGGAGAGCATCCGGAGGCGAGAGAACGCCCGATCATTTCAGACAGCTGCACCGACACAACATGACACAGTCCACCCGCAAAGTAAGGGTGGGGAATCTTCCCAAGACCCAAGGATACGTTTGCACCCTGCCCCTTCGGCCCATCCTTGGCCGCTTCCGCTGGCCGCGCCCCGCTTCTTGCAAGGTGCCGACATGGCCTTCCAATGCCCTTGCATGCCCACTGCGCATCCTGATTCTGTGGGTTGACTGTGCGATCGGAAACTACAGACACTGCAGGAACGAAAGCACGAGGGCCAGCGAACAACTCCAGAAACAAGCTCCCGGCGGGCGGATGCCCGGCGAGCCGCGAGGAGCAGAGCGTGCGGAGCAGGATACAGGAGCCCCTCCGGTGGGGGAGTCGGGGGGGGCCGGCGCGCCCGCCGTCGGCGTCGTCGGTCGTCGTCGGCGTCGTCGGCGTCGTTGTTGTCGTCATCGTCGCCGTTGTCGTCCTCGGCGTCAGGAAGGAGGAGCCGCCGTCGGCGTCGTCGGTCGTCGTCGGCGTCGTCGGCGTCGTCGTCGTCGTCGTCGTCATCGTCGCCGTTGTCGTCCTCGGCGTCAGGAAGGAGGAGGATGCCTCGTTCCCGCGTCGTTGCCGCCTTGTGCGCTGTGTGGGTCTGCCAAGGATTCATGCCGAAGATTCGCTACGTTGCCGCCTGTTGCCGCCTGTTGTCGCCCGTTGCTGCCTCGTTGCCGCGTCGGTGCCGCTCCGTGCGCTATGTGGGTATGCCGAGGATTCGCCACCTTACCGCCCGTTGCCGCCTGTTGCCGCCTGTGGGGGTGTGGCGAGGATTCGCCACGTCGCCGCCCGTTGCAAGCCGCGTCGTTGCCGCCCCATGCGCTGTTGGAGTGTGTCGAGGATCCGCCGCGTTGTAGCCCGTGGGCATCCAGTTCGCTGGGGGCGCAAGCTCACACTGCACAGCTTGCACGACATAGCTTACACCACATAGCTTGCACCGCACTTGTCCCACCTTCACAGCTAACACCACACAGCTTGCACAGCATAGCTGTCACCACATAGCTTACACCGCATATGTTTCACATGCACTGTGCAATTATGCATTCTTATGTATTGTTCGGGATCCACGCTGGCCAACATGTTCTTCCCCGAGTGGTTTTTATCCGTGAGGTCTTCGTCCCCATGCCGCTGGCCCCCCTCTCTTAGAATGGGACTTGCCAGAGCTGTGTTGGGATGTCTGGACGCTGACGTGAAGCAGTGTCGGGACTTCACGCGAGGGCCAACATCAATTTACGAGGGTTTATGGCTTCGGTGGCGCGAGCATTAGGTAATTTACGATGGTTTATGGTTTCGGGGACGCGAGCATTGCATAATGAGGAGGGTTTGTGGCTTCGGGGACGCACATATGGTGTATTTCACAAACTACAAATCTTTACGGCCTCGGGGGCGCAACTATGGTATACTGTACAAGGCCTTATGGCCTCGGGGACGCAACTATGGTGTAATTTGCAAGGGTTTGTGGCCTCGGGGCGCAACTACGGTGTAATTTCCGAGGGTTTATGGTCTCGGGGCGCGAATTGTGCATATTTTACAAAAAGGATTATGGTTTCGAGGAAGCGATTATTGCGTAAATGCTAAGGTGTATGGCTTCGGGGACGCGCATGTTGCGTAAATTACGAGGTCTTATTGCCTCGGGGACGCGAATCTGGTGTAATTTGCTAGGGGGTTATGGCCTCGGGCATGCGAATCTGCTACAGTTTGTTGCGTCCCACGCTCCCCCCAGGAATTCAGCAAACGCGATCTGGGCGTGGTACAATGGCTGGTTTGGGGCTCCCCGCCCTCGCGCGCTCAGCAACAATTAACAGTAAGGAAGCAACAAATCATGACTGTAACAGTGGAAAGTGGAACCGGCAATTGGCACAGGGAGCTGCAATCCTCACCCTTGCAGCCTGGCGGCCCCGCAAGGGGGTCGGCGGATTTGACTGTTCCGGGGCCTGGCATGGGCCCCTATGGAGCCAAAATTGCTGAACACCTGCCGTCTCGACTCAAGGCTAAAGAGGCTTGCGCTATCCTTTTGACGCGCAGAAGAGAATATGCGCGGCTTCCTATTTCGTATGAGTTGTTGTTTCCCCCCCGCGTCCCGTAATTCTGCTTGCGTGTAGTTGATTCTGGGTTGTTCCTTGTTCTTACGCGTTTGTTGCGCGGCTTCGTGGGGTCCTGGGGGCCTCCAGGGCGGCCTCTTGGAAGGCTCTTCAAAGCTCCTGTGCCTCTTCTGGGGTGGTCTGGGCCGTCCTGGACAGCTCAGAGACCGTCCACAAGACGCCCTGGGGAGCCCAGACCGCCCCCTGGTGCGTTCGGCCAGGAGTCGGCCGAGGGTCGGCTGGGGGTCGTCCAGGGCCAAGGCGGGGTGGGGTCGAGTTTCTGTTCTGGGGCTCCTCGAGGGGGATGTGTAGGGGGGGCTATCTCACACGCCTGGAGACCCAAAGGGTTCCGCGGCGGATTTGTTCGAGACGGCGGGCCTCTGGATCCTTATCGTACCCTGCCCGCTTTTTCGAGCCGTGTACAGCTGTGGCAGCTGTGGCGGCCGTGGCGACGAGGAGGAGGACAGCGGACGGTGTGAGTCGGATTCGGGCGAATGGGTCCTTTGCACAAGGGGTCTCAAGCACGGTCGCAACAGATCGTGCATTCGTTCGTGCGGAATGCGCACGTCGTACGCGCCATGCGCCACAGGATTCACTATTGGATTCTTTGCGCGATTCCATGACGAGACAGAGGCCGAGGAGGACGCGGAGCGTCAGAGTGTGAGCATCAGCTGCGGACGATTGTCCCAGACAGCCGACGCGGCCCCAGAGCTCTCGACCATTTCCCTGGGGACAGTCTCTCGCCCCGGATATCCGTGGTCGATGTCCCCAGGGCCCGAAGAGCGGCGCCCAGTGGCCGAAGCTAGGGAAAAACGCGGGGAGCGAAAAGCAATGCCTCGGACGTCTGGGGAGGAGGCGGCGTGCGAGGAAGGGGGCAACGAGGAGGACAAGCGACAGGAGACCCCCCCGCCTCGAAGAGGAAACAACTGCAGAAGCGTATTCTTTCGACAGTCCGTGCGGATCTCTTGGATCTGGGCTAGGCCCCCCTGGCGGCGCTCCTGGCGCCGCCCCTGGCGCGCGGAGCGTGCCATGGAGAGGCGGGTCTCGCGCCGACCCAAGAAATCCGCGCGGACTTACGAGACATGATGTTTATGCGGGGGTCCATCGCCGACACGCGGGATCCGCGCGGACCTACGAGACATGATTTCAATCAGCTTGTTCCGACGCGCCGCCGTACGTCTTGGGGAGAGCGCCTCGGCCACCAAGGCAAACGCCGCCTCGCACATAGAGTTTGCCGTGGGCTTGCCGTGGTGCCAGTTTTGTCCACTTCGGCGCGGCGACGTGTTCAACTTCCTGCTCCTCCGTGGAGGCAGGCCAGCCTGAGAGCCGCCAGCTGGCCTGTGTGTGTGTGTGTGTCCTCGATGCGGCGGGGCCCCCGGAGTCTCGGCGCCGCCCCCCCCCCGCCCTGCAGGATCTGCGGTTCGTTGAGGGGGGCGCATCTTACGGCGAGCGACGCAGAGCAACAGTCCTACTAGCCCTGTCTTCGACCCTCATGCATCAGGCCTACTAGCCCTGACTCGTTCTCGCGAAGACCTCCCAGGAGTTGCTCCCAAACCTCCGCATACCTCATCTGAGCGAAGCAAGAAAAACGGGTCGTCTGCGCCGACGTTCGCGCGTAAGCTGCCCGCGTAAGGTCGCGCGTAAGCGCCCTCGTGTGAAATGTGGTGTGCAGCTCTGGCGGCCCGCGTAAGCCGCCGTGTAAGGTCGCTCTGTCATCTCGCGTAAGTCCCGTTCTTTTCTTCGCTCAGGTGGGGTCAGGGAATGACGCCAGCCGGATGCTCACGCTTCCTGCTTCCAGGGGCTATTTCAGACTGTTGTCCTCTAGCCCCACCTCTGCCTCTACCCCTCCTCGACGTCCCCCCCAGAAGGAGGGTGGCGACAGCGTGAGCTCCGAAGAGATGAAGCCGGTCAACGAGATCTTCCTATCCAGACGCCCAGCGGCCAGCTCCGCCTGGGTCGTCTTTGGGCTGAACCAGGGCTCTTCGGGGGGCCTTTTTCGAAGACGTAGAGGCTGCAGAAGTAGTAACTTTCGGAGGTCCGCGCGGATTTCTTGCATCGGCGCGGCGCCTCTGGCGCCGCCCCTGGTGCGCGGAGCGTCCAAGAGATCCGTGCGGACCGTCGAAAGTTTGTGTGTTATGCAGCTGTTTGCTTTTTTACCTAACAGCTTTTGCTGATAGGTTTCTAGTGGTCTCAAAAGAGAGCAGCAGATGACTCCACAGGGGGGTCGGGGCGGGACCCGGGGCGGTGCCGCCGAAGCCCAAATCGCTTCGGACATCCTCGCAAAATCGCTCTTGGCGCTCCAGAACTCCATTCCCGGGCCACATTTTGGATGCCCGGAGCCAACTGTAGGCCACTTCGTGCTCTTCGACTTCCCAGAACTCCATTCCCGGGCCACATTTTGGATGCCCGGAGCCAACTGTAGGCCACTTCGTGCTCTTCGATTCCCAGAACTCCATTCCCGGGCCACATTTTGGATGCCCGGAGCCAACTGTAGGCCACTTCGTGCTCTTCGAGTTCCCAGAACTCCATTCCTGGGCATGATTTTGAATGCCCGGAGCCAACTGTAGGCCACTTCGTGTTCTTCTAGTTCCCAGAACTCCATTCCTGGGCCACATTTTGAATGCTGAGGCAGGCTGATGCTGCGGCCGAGGCAGGCTGAGGCTGAGGCAGGCTGAGGCTGAGGCCGAGGCTGAAGGCAGACTGAGGCTGAGGCTGAAGCAGGCTGAGGCTGAGGCTGAGGCAGGCTGAGGCTGAGGCAGGCTGAGGCTGAGGCTGAGGCAGGCTGAGGCTGAGGCTGTGACTGCGACTGCCGTTGCCGCTGCGACTGTCATCGCGAATGCGACTACGACTGCGAGAACAGCAGAATTCTACAACTGGATTTTCATCTGAATCTTAAGGGGAATGCTTTCAGATATGCTTCTACACATCGCTGTTAGGTTGCTTTGCCGGGATAAATTATTGTTGGGCCCCTCGGGGGGGGCCCCTTTGGGCTCGCCTGGGGCCTTTGGGGCTCGCCTGGGGCCCTTGGGCCCTGAGGAGGTGACGCCGCTCCACGAGCCCAAGGATCAAGGGATCAGCGCCACGGCCAGAGCCCCAGCTGCCCAGCTGCCCCGCCTCGCGAGAGCAGGTAAACCGAGGTGTAGCTGGGAGGAGGAGGAGGCGGAGGAGGAGGAGGCGGAGGAGGAGGAGGAGGAGGAGGAGGAGGAGGAGGAGGTTGGGGAGGAGGTTGGAGGTTGGAGGTTGGAGGTTGGTGGAGAGGAGGAGGAGAGGAGAAGGAGGAGGGGAGGAGGAGCATGATGATGATGATGATGATGATGATGATGCTGATGATGATGATGATTGATGATGATGATGATGATGATGATGATGATGATGATGATGGATGGAGGAGGAGGAGGAGGAGGAGGAGGAGGAGGAGGAGGAGGAGGAGGGGAGGGAGGAGGGGGAGGAGGAGGAGAGGAGGAGGAGCAGGAGGTTGGAGGGGGAGGAGGAGGAGATTGGAGGAGGAGAAGGAGGAGGCGGAGGAGGAGGAGGAGGAGGAGTTCTTTCCCTCGCGAGCCTGCTGCCACGCCCGTGAGCCGTGCCCCGCTGACTTTCGGCGACCACTGGCCGTCGTGATTTTTTCACGGCGCGAGCACGGCATGGTCCTCATCGTTCCCTCCTCCCTCCTGCCTCTCCCAGGGTGGATGGTTTCAGCCGCGGTTGCCGCCGCTGGGCAGGGAGGCATTTTCATACTGCCGAGTCTGCTACGCTCCACGCTTGCGGCTCACATTCGCCCCAGATGGCGGTGCGGAGCATGACGTTCTCTTTCGGGAGCCTTGAGGCGCGGGGGTCGATACAAACGGGGGTCAGCCAGAGTGCCCGATCTTGCCGGATATTGCGAAGCCAGGGTTGTGCTGACCCGGGTCAGCGCGCAGGATCCTGCAGGATTTGGCAGGATCCTGCAAAACCCGACTGGCCCAGGTTTGCATTGACCCGGGGCATTAGATCCCCGACGGGTCGATCCGATCCCACCTCGCCCCTCCTCCCCCGCCACTCCTCGCGTTCCTGACCGTGGGCCCGCCCCCGCCGCTCGGAGGAGGGGGGGGCGGCGGATCTCTTGTGGAGGCGCGCTCCTCGATTCCTCGTCCGCCGCGGGGTGCCTGCGACCGGAGCTCACCGAGGGAGGGGCGGGGGGGAGGGGGGGCAGGAGGGGGGGCAGGAGGGGGGGGCAGGAGGGGGTTCAGGTGGAGGAGGGAGGCCCTGAGATCTGGGCGTCGCATTGTCTAAAGCACCGGGCGTTTCCGCCCAGTTTCGGGCCCTGGGGCCATCACAAAACGATCCAGTTGAAAGATGCAGTTGCAAGACGGGGCCTAGGGCTCCAGCCGTGATTCTTCGCGATGTAGCATTTTTTTTCAATGTCGGATTTCAAGGGAGGAGGAGGGGGGAGAGTGGAGGGGAGCCTGGGGCGGGGGGGGTGGGGGGTGGAGTGGGAGTTAGGGGGGCGGGAGGTGGGAGGGGAGGGCGGGGAGGAGGCGGGAGGGCGATGAGGAGGCCGGGAGGGGCGGGTGGGGAGAAGGTCGGGGGAGGAATTCCTGCCACCTAGGAAAGGGAAGAGGGAGGTGGGAAGAGGAGGAGGAGGAGGAGGAGGAGGAGGAGGAGGAGGAGGAGGGAACGGAGGCCTCCCGCCCATCTCCCTCCCGCCACTGAAAGACTTTGTTCGTGTGCTCAAGCCCTGAGCTCTGACATATGGTTACGGGCGAACGTCATGGCCCTCTGTGCGCTGATTGCCAAGTTCGTCCAGGAGACAAGCAGTTGGGTCATATCCTGTATGTTCGGGCTGCCATGCGCTCAGCGGATCAACTGTCTTATCATACTCTCTAGGTGGCCTGCTCGCTAACATGCTTATAGCAAACAAGCAGTTGCTCTCGAATCGGCGGAAGTTCTCGAGGTCCTCGCTGTAGTTGTCATGCCGGTGCTCGATCCAGCGTGCTGTAGCTATCTTGGCCGTCCCAGTCATGTCCAAGAGCGAATTCGGAAGTATTTTCTTGGTATGGTAGGATATTCCTGGCTTCGCGAAGCCATCTGCAACCATGACCTCTGTCGGAACGGGGACAGCCAAACGCGTCCGTGTAGTGATACGCTCGTGTCAGAGTTTCGTTGCGGGGGTGCGCTGCTGCTTGTCCTGAGGAACGCCCTTCAGGCAGGTCACTAGCTCGAACATGTCCTTTACGTCCGTGAGGTGATCAAATGCCAGACCAAGCGATCTTACACCGTCCTTGGGTGCGTGACTGAAGGAGGGGTTCGCGGTGCGGATTCTTGTTGCTTGTTGTTATTTGTGGTCGCTGCCGCGCTCGCAGCCCACCCGCGACCCACCCTGCGACCCACCCTGCGATCTACCCGCGGCCCACCCCGCGACCCACCCAACCCGCGACCCTTCCGTAATCCAACCCGCGACTCACCCCGTGACTCACCCCGCGACTCACCCCGCAACCCACCCCGCGGTCCACCCCGCGACCCACCCGCGACCCAGCCACCCGGGACCACTCTGCGATCCAGCCTGTGACCCACCCCACGACCCACCCTGTGACCCACCCGCGACCCGCCCGCGACCTACCCGCGGCCAGCCCCGCGACCCACCTGCGATTCATCCACATTGGTTTGTCAGAAGGATCGGCGGCTCTGGCGGGCGCGTTGTTTGAACATATCGGCGCCTGCGGCGGGATTTGTCAAATTTGCTTTCGAGCCTCGAAAACTGCCGACGACACCCCTCACTTTCATTCGCAACTCTGCGGGTATGGCGGTATCAACTTGTTCGGTTTCATCATTTTGCGTATGCAAACTTGCTGTGGTATATTGTGGCCCATGCATTTCTGTGATACGCAATGCGATGATCTGACCATGACTCACCACGTGGAGTGCACAATTTGCTTCGCCCATGAAGGTGGATGCGCCACCTTCATGGCTTTGCTGGAAGGGTTATCTAGAATCTTGATGGCAGACACCATTCAAACGAGTACTGTCTAGGTCAACGTCGCGATTTCCATCCATGATTATCTTCTCGTCGTGCATAAGAGGTACTCTGTGACCCTTCATTGGATACACGCTCGTGTTGGTCGTGTTGTTGCACCGCGGATTGAACGCAAGCAGAACGGAGACTGAAGCCGAAAATGATGAAGTCCTACAAGCTGGTTGCTTTGTTAAATACACTGGTGACCTTTCTTTCTATAAGGTACCGATTTTGGCTCTTGAATCCTGGAAGTTGCGATGCCTCATTGTACATGTGCACGCTACACCGGCACCGTTAGGTCAGGAGGTGTATGATGTCTGAGTCAGGGGACATCGATTTATATTGCATCCTGGATGTCGGCCTGCAATGCTACAGCCGCTGGGCTGATTTCCTATGTAAGCCGTCCCTCTCCCTCTCTCCCTCCCTGCCCCCTCTCCCCACTCTTCCTCATCCCGCCTCCCTCCGGCTCCTTCCTTCTTCTCCTCTTCCTCTTTCACTTGCCTCTCTCCCTCCCGCCTTCCCTCTTTCTCCCCCTCGCTCCCTCCCTCCCTCTCCTACCTTCCCTCCTCCCATCCTTCTTCTCCCTCATCCTACTCCTCGTCCTCCTTGGTGGGGGTGTCCAAGGCTCTCGGGGTTCCATCGAGTTTTTTGCTTGATCGGCCTGACAGCGCACGGGCCCCAAGACAGGCCGATTTCTCCAGACATGGATTCGTGTCCGAGTCGCGCGCGCGCGCCTGTGTTTGAGCCTCGGGACTTGTGTCCGGAGGCAGCTCCTATGGACCCGAGCCCGAGCATGCTCGGAGAGCTTTGGCTGCACCTCGTGTTGCTAATCTTGCTGAACGTTTTCCTGCCCCCTCCCCCACTCCCCTCCTCCCCCTCATCCCCCTCCTGCCCATCTCCCTCTTCCTCCTCCTCTTCCCCCTAAGGTTCCGTTTGCTCATCCTCTCTTCTTTCCTCTTCTTCTTATTCGTCTTGTTCTTTTTATCATTATTATTGCCGACCTAGGCTCTGCCTAAAAGGGTTCTTACCCTCTGTCTTAAAGGGGCCGCGCAGTGGAAAACGCCCCGGGCGGTTCCCCCAGGATCCGCCCCGTGGTTCCCCCACTTGCGTCCCCTTAGCTTAGCGTTGCTTATCTCATCTTAGCTCACCTTAATTCATCTTAGCTTAGCTTAGCTTCATCTTAGCTCAGGTTTATCGTAGCTTAGCTTACCTCCATCTTAGCTTCGCTGAGCTTTAGCATCACATAGCACATCATAGCATAGCCTTGCGTAGCATCGCATAGCGCAGCACAGCATATCATATCATAGCCCAGTCTAGCATAGCATAGCTTAGCTTAGCACAACATAGCGCAGCGCTGCATTAGCATAGCATAGCACAGCATAACATAGCCAACCATAGCATAGCATAGCATCGCATAGCGCAGCATATCATAGCATATCATGGCATATCATCTCATACTATAACATAGCATAGCATAGCATAGCACATCATTGCACATCCTATCATAGCATAGCATAGCATAGCATAGCGCAGCTTAGCACAGCACATCATGTCATATCATATCATAGTTTAGCATATCACAGCGCAGCATGACATATCATAGCTCATCATATCATATCAGAGTATATCATATCATATCATAGCATAGCGCAGCATATCATAGCATAGCATAGCACATCATAGCATAGCGCAGCATAGCATGGCATATCATAGCATAGCATAGCAACTAATGCTGCTTTCCTAGGGGTTCCAACTTCTAGGTCGGGTCGCATTGGGGTATTGATTATTAGTTTTCTTCTTCCTCCTCCTCCTCCTCCTCCTCCTCCTCTTCCTCCTGCTCCTCCTCCTCCTTCTCCTCGTCGTCCTCCTCCTCCTCCTCCTCCTCCTCCTCCTCCTCCCCTTCCTCCTCCCCCTCGTCCTCTTCCTCTTCCACTTCCTCCTCCTGCTCCTTTTCCTCCCCCTCTCCTGCCTCTAGGGATCGCCCTCCAGGGCGGCGCCGCGCGCTTCGCCCCCCCCCCCCCCCCCCCGCCTCTGGCCTGGGGAGTGCAGCGGGGGCGGCACGTCGCCGCGAAAGGCCAAGTATTGGAAGAGGATCGACAGTGGCGACTTTACGAAAGGCCTGGGCCCCTGCCAGGGGAGGGGAGGAGGGGGAGAGAACGGATGGGGGGGGCCCCAGGCCTCCGATCGACGAAGCGCAAAGACGGATCAAGACGAGCGACGGGCACGCCTCCGTGCCACGTCAGGTGGTGGCGCTTGTGTGTTTTGGGGGTACTTCCCCGATCCGCGGAATTGGCGCCCACGCGCCAGATCCACGGGTCCGTAATCCTTTCCAGCGTGCGCCCGAAGGTCGAGACTTCGACGAGGAACGCTATTACTCATATTAAGAAGAAGAGTCATACTACCGCATGTTAATATCACACATTTTCGGAGGTCGGTGCGGGCTTCTTGTATCGACGTTGGACCTTCCGTCCGGCAGGGTTGTGCCACGGCGACGACCCTAGCGCGGGCAATCAGGGCTGATCACCGCCCATGACCCAGAATCGGCCGATATCGGCCGATCTGCGCTATCGAAAAGCCGCGATCGTTCAAAGTTTCACGGTTTTCGCAGTGTCAGAAACCAACGTCATCTTCGTCGTGATGTGAACCTGCCGAACGTGGATTGGTGACATCTCTCCCTCACTGTCCTCGCCTCTTGCCCCCCGGCTGTCCCTGCAGCTTCTCGGCCCGGTGGTTCCCCTCCTCGCCCCCCCGCGGGCGCCTCATGCACGCGCTCGCCCAGGTGGCCCTCGAGGGGGCGGGCGACCCACGAGGAGGAGGAGGAGGAGGAGGAGGAGGAGGAGGAGGAGGAGGAGGAGGAGGAGGAGGAGGAGGAGGAGGAGGAGGAGGAGGACGAGGACGAGGACGAGGAGGAGGAGGAGGAGGAGGAGGAGGAGGAGGAGGACGAGGAGGAGGAGGAGGAGGAGGAGGAGGAGGAGGCTCGTGGGCCAGCCTCCTCCCGTCGCTCCGCGAACCCCGGAGCCCTCTCGCCGCTCGGCCTCCGCGGGCCGCCCGCGCCGACCCGAGGCGGCGGGGGGCACCGCCCTCTCCCGGCCAGCTCGGGCTCGGCCTGTCCCCCCCTCTGCCTACGGTAGGTTTGCGTCGTGTCGACCAGCGGCGACCCCAGCGTGGGCGTTCAAGGTAGGGCGACGAGATCTATGCATATCCACTGCTCCTGGCCAGGCCCATCCTGGGCCAAGGAGCTGTGTATATGCCTCCCTGGCCAGGCCAGGAGGGCGTATACACCGCTCCTGGGCCCAGGATTGGCCTGGCCAGGAGCAGTGGATATGCATAGATCTCGTCGCCCTACAAGGTTGAACGCCGCTGGCGACCCAGAATCGATCGACGTTGAACGATCGGACGTTGCGGCAGCGGCCGATCGTTCAAGGTTGAACGATCCCTGCGGTGTCAAAAACCAATGCTGGGGTCGGCACGACACGAACCTGCCGTATAGGGCCAAGTCGGGCCTGTCCCTCTGCAGGAGGGATATGATTCCCAAATAGTCAGCAAAAATAGCACGGGGACTGTTTTTTTGTTTTTTTCAACCAGGTTTGAGTACTTGGGGATATTTTTCGTCGGTAGGTTTGCGTCGTGTCGACCAGCGGCGACCCCAGCGTGGGCGTTCAAGGTTGAGCGCCGCTGGCGACCCAGAATCGATCGACGTTGAACGATCGGACGCTGCGGCAGCGGCCGATCGTTCAGGGTTGAACGATCCCTGCGGTGTCAAAAACCAATGCTGGGGTCGGCACGACACGAACCTGCCGTATAGGGCCAAGTCGGGCCTGTCCCTCTGCAGGAGGGATACTATTCCCAAATAGTCCACAAAAATAGCATGGGGACTGTTTTTTGTTTTTTTCGACCAGGTTTGAGTATGTGGGGATTTTTTCCGTTTCGTCCAAAATCCGCCGGTAGGGGGTCATGCCCGACCCAAGCCTAGGTCGTGGGCTCTCTCGAGAGGGCTCTCGGGGGCTATTGGGGGGAGTTTAGGGGCCTCTTGGGGGCGTCCCGGGGGCTTCTTGGAGACCTCTTGGGGTCCTCTTGGGGCTGCTCACCGCGCCGCCTCGCAGGACATCGGTGCCGCTCTCGCCCTGGTGGGGGCCCGGCGCGGCGAGGCCCGCCCGCGGCGCCGTGGGCCCGACTCTGCCCCCTAAGACGGCCAAAGAGGCCCCCAAGACGTCCAAAATTCAGGAGAGGAAAAAACACACAGACACGATTAATCTTCGATTCCTCAGAAAATATGAGAAAATATGGGAAGTGGGTGGGAAGACAGAAACCCAGAAAAGATGGGAAAAGATGGGGAATAGTTTTATTTGTGTGTATTTATTTGTGTGTCCCGGGGCCCCTTCAAAGATGGCCTCCCAGACGGCCCTGGAGAACCCCAAGAGGGCACCAAGTCGGCCCAGAGAGGCCCCCAAGGCGGCTTCTGACGGCCTCGGACGCGCCAGGAGGCAATCAAGACGGCCCAAGACGGCTCCAGGATGGCCCAAAACGGCCCAAGACGGGTCCACACGTCGCGCGCTCCTTGCCCGCTTGCTGGCGGTGCCGCCTGGGGTCACCACTCGCGCCGGCTCTCTTCTCCGTTGGGGTGCAACCTAGCGGCGCTCGCTGCTGCTGCTGTTGCTGCTGTTGCTGCTGCTGCTGCTGCTGCTGCTGCTGCTGCTGCTGCTGCTGCTGCTGCTGCTGCTGCTGCTGCTCTCGCGCGCGAGTTCTGTGGCGTGGCTTGCCCGTTCCAGCGGCGCTCGAGGGCCGGACCCGGCTTTGGGGCTGCCCTACAGTGGAGACCCATGCCAAGAAACACCCTGCTTGTCTCCAGAGTGCCCTGGGTGTCTTGGGTTTCGATGGTTTTGCTACGGAACGCGTGACGTTCCCACACCAAAAATCAATGGACGTCCTGGGGTCTCAGGGTTGGGTTTCTTGTGGAAGGTTTCTTGTGGACTGGCCTCCACTGTAATTCAGGTGGGGCGCCTGGCCTAACCTTACCTCAGGGCGGCCAGGACACCACCCCTCAGTGCGGCACACGCATTCGCCCTGCTGCACGGCGCAGGTGCTGGGGTCGGCGCCAGCCGGAGTCCTGCCAAGCCCAGTCCACGTGTTTGTTTCTTGCCAGATTGCTAGCGGCCCTTGCCAGGGCCATCAGTCGCTGCGGCTGCGGCCTTGCGGGATGCAGCGCGCCAGCCTCTGCTGTTGCGCCTCTCGCTCGCTTCGCTGTCCTCTCTGCCCGCTTCCTGGTGACTCGCGCCGGCGTCCTGCTGTCGTCTCGGGGCGCAGCCCGCGGCCATCATAGTTGATTCCCGCATCTGTCGCGACACTGTCTGTTAGGCATGGCGCTTCTTGTGCTCAAGGCGGTCGAACGCCTCACCCGGCTCTGGGCATTACCCAGCGCATCGAGGGTACTTTGGCTGTCCCTTCACCCAGGGCGGCTGCCGCCCCCCCCCCCACCCATAGTGCGGCACACGCCTGCCCCTGCCTGCGCTGGCAGCTGGTATAGCCTCCTGGGCCGACGCCGGTCGCTCTCTTGCCAGGCCCAGTCTCCACTAATTACTTTCTGCCCGCTCCCTGCGGCCCTGGGTTGGGACCAGTCCGGGCACACTCCTCCTCCTCCTCCTCCTCCTCCTCCTCCTCCTCCTCCTCCTCCTTCTCCTCCTCCTCCTCCTCCTCTCTTGGAGTTGCCTGCCTGGCCCGTGAGCGGCCTGTCGGCCTCCCCGGGGGTCCTCCTCCTCGGGCGCGGCTCGTGGCGCCCCTCTCGCGGAGCTGCCCGCCTGGCCCAGCGGCCGGCCGGCCTCTCTCTTGGCAGCTTGACCCTCGGCCTCAGTGCGCCGCCAGGTGGCGTCGTCCTCGCCTGCTCCCGCCGCCCTGCGTCGCGCCCCTGCTCCTCGCTTCTGTGCGTCCTTCGGGCTTTTTCGCCCGGGTCTCGCCC